CGACACCCTCCGCCAGCACGCGCAGACCGTCCACGCCGACAAGCAGGACCAGAACGAGCGCATGATGCATGAGCTCACCTCCCTCCACGCCACCATGACCGCCGCCAACAAGGGCTCCCAGCGCGCAAAGCGCCCCCTCCAGACTGCCCCCTCGTCGTCCACCATCGCCCCCTCCGTCCCCGCCATGGCCATCAAGCAGGAGGACGCCGGCCACGCCCTCCCTGCCGCCCACCAGCGCCCTGGCACCAGCACCGGCTACGAGAGCGGCAACCTCTACCACGCAGGCACCCCGTGGCACGTCCAGACGTCCGACGTCGACAGACCCGCCGTCCGCGCCGCCACCCACGGCCATTCCTTTCGTGACCCCGGTCAGTCCTTTCGTGCCCCCGCCGCAGCATCTACCCAATACCCCGGCCAGTCCTTTCTCGTCCCCTCCTCCGCCTTCAACTTCAGTCTCCCCGAGCTCGTCGGTGGGACTCGCCCCGGATCGAGCAAAGGCCCTTCAGCCGACCCCGCCCCTTCCCTCCCGCCCCTCGCTGCCGTCGTCTCCTCCGCCCTCCCTTCCACCCTCTCTCTCCCGCCCCCACCATACCCTCCCCCCGCCGCCTCGCTCTCCGCTCCCCAGCAACCACTCACACTCACACACGTTCTTCCACTACCAGCCCCATCCTATGCTCTCCATGGTCGACGCCCATCCACCGCAGCTCGCCCAGGCACCGCACCCGCTTCCTACTTCTACTCATCTCCTTACCCCCCACCAGGATCTGGACATGGACTACCCGCCCTGGGCACACCTCGCTCAGACCACCTATCCCTTCCATCCATCCATGCCCTTGGACACGGCCCCCAGCTCGACCCCTTACGACTCCCTTCCGGTGGATATCTCGATGGAGGAGACGATCGCGACCCAACATCTCCCACAGGAGCTTACGGCGACTCTCCCTTTTCATTCCACCCACCATCCTCGGCAGTCCCCTCCGAACGGGAGCCACAGCCACCCGCAGCCGCACACAACCCTCGCAAGCGACCTTTCGCCGAGTCCGACGATGATGTCCCATACGAACAACAGCGCGACAGAGGAGGGGATGCTGGCCGCCCATCTAGCAGCGGCGAATACGACTATGGCTCCGAGTCTCGGCCCCAGTCTAGACGACTCTCCGTCATGGAACTCTGCAACGATGCAGATGCAGATGGACATCGAGCATTTCTACCACTTGCGGGCCCAGGCTCAGGCTCAAGCGGAGGCCCAGGCCCAGGCCCGGGCACACGCCCGCAGCCAGGCGCAGTCTCGCGGCCCACCACCTCGTCCGGACTCGTCGCGGGCGCATCACAACTCGCACTCGTCGATCGCCCAAGCGCCTCCCCCGGCGGGTCCCCAGAACCACCCGCACGATTCGCATTCTCAGGTGCAGACACATCAGTACTCGCTCGACCTCCGCCGCCAGCAGCACGAGCAGCTTCGTATGCAGCAGGAGCGTATCCATATGCAGCAGCAACAGCAGCAACAGCAGCAGCAGCAGTACGCCGCGAAGGAGCACGAGCGGCGCAATTCGGAGACCTTTCTCCATCTGCAGCAGCTGGCGCAGGCGTATGGGACCGTCGCGAGCCCACACCAGCTGGAGGTTTCCGGCAGTCACCCGTACTTTCAGCAGCAGGCGTATCCAGCGCAGCATACGCACACACATCCGGATGGGGTGGGGGTGCACCTGGGTCACCCGGAGATGGATGGCGAGCCGGAGGGCGCATACCATCGCACTCTCCCGCATCCTCACCCGGGGCAGGCTCACCACGCGCAGGCGATGCTGGACGGGGGCTATCCGCTGGTCGACGGACACCCGGCTCAGCTGGAACTGGTGGGAGTCCCAGGAGCGGTGGGGGGGGAGCGGAGCCCCGTGGGGGGAATGATCAGGTACGAATCCCCGCTGCAGTTGGAATGAGGGCGTAGTGCCCTCGCGTGGGAGTGGTGGTCCGACCTCACAGCGAGTCGGTCGTCTGAAATTTGCCCAGTTTTGAAATATTTTTTCTGCCTGGATACACCTTGTTCTGTACCCAGTACTTTATGGCCACGGTTAATGGTGCGTCTCCCCCTGTGCTCATCGTCGTTCTGTGTTTATTTTGCGGTATGTCGTACGTATATCCCGATCCGTCGCAGATATCCAGTCCATCTAATTTCCGACCTGCACATACAAGAATTTGAACCCTTGAATTTTTTTTTTGTTTGTCTTTGCTGTCGACCACATGTCTTTTACTGTACGTTTCGCTCGGATAGCTCGCGTAAGAGTCCCTCCGTTGTGCGGAAGCGCAGATAGTGTATACCAATTTGAATCAAAAGGAGGCGTCTGAGCCTAGACTATTATTTGCAGATGGAGGAGGACCCTGAGCGGAAACAGAATTCGTGGCTGGCTCCTCACGATCGCCGCCACATGTGCGCCGCCGATCGTCTGTGCGAGGCGCCTGCAACCACCGGCGCACACAACCGTCGCCAGACCGGCGCAGCCACACTCAGTGGAGTGGGGGCGGGTCCCTTGCCCACGCCGAGCGCCGTTTCACGTCGAGCACGGCCGCAGCTGCGCCAGACGGATGCAGTGGGACGGCGCGACTGTTCGCATCAGCGCCAATCACCGTGTCGAGATGGACTCATGGACGGACGGCCGTGGCTCCAAGTGTTTCCCTCCTTCCCAGCTTTCTTCTCTGCCTCTCCCTCAGAGCGCCCCACCCAGTCACTCTCTTATGCCCCCCGGTCCCCGCCCTGCATGAGCTACAACTATACCCTCGACGACGACGACCCCCGCATTTCGTATGCCTCCGCCGCATGGGACATTCAAAACTCGTCCAACCCCGACCTCGACGCATACTTCGACCGCACCTATCACCTCGCCCGGTCCAGCGGAGCCTCCTTCAATTTCACTTTCACCGGCTCCGCCTTTTCGCTCTTTGGCTCCAAGGGCCCTGGCCATGTACGTCATTCCTCGTCTGTCCTGCCCCCCCCAGCGCTCACCACGGACGCCCGCGCCCTGCGCACCCAGGCGGACTTCAGCGTCCAGTGCGATGGGGACGTCTACCCAAACCTCTCCGCCGTCGCATCCGAGACCCAGTTCCAGCAGCTCCTCTTCCAGTGCCCGTTCGCCAACGCGACCGCCCACCTCGTCCAGATCGTCGCCGAGTTCCCCGACATTACCCACACCTGGTTCGACGTCGACTTTCTGACCTTTGCCGACGGCGGGTGCGGCGCTTCCCTCGGTCTTGCCGCGTTCTGCTGACGACGCCCGTGCTCCGTTCGCAGCGCGAAAGCAACGACGACGTTGCCCGTCGGGACGGCGATACCCCCATACCAGACTGCGTACGTGCCATTCCTTGCGTTTTTCCATTCCGGCTTTGGATTCCGGCAGCTCCATTCCTGATCATCTTCTGGGCTGTGATTCCGACACGCCCTTCTTGATGGCACACGCATCTTTGCACAAAGTATGCACCTCGCTCTGCACCCCCTCCCTCGTGCGGCACGTACGTGCGTGCGGGGATCTCATGCTCACGGCCGCGTCTGAGCCCGAGTCGTACCCGTCATCCTCTTTCGTTGATCTTGGGGTCCCGGAGGGTTAGCGCCGCGGCGGCTGTGCAATCGCGGAGCTTTGAAATGATCTCATCTTCCCTTGGTCTGCACAATGTGTCTCGTGTCTCACACTTTGTCTTTGATACAGGTCCTCTTCTGGTGCTACTCCTACCTCGTACGTGCTCATGCACATGTGTCCGAACCGTCATATCCGTATTCATGTTCTCTCTAACCCTCCACAGCTCCGTCTCGTCCTCAGCGTCGTCGCACACCTCCGTCTCCACCATCCTCGCTGCGCTCTTTGGCTCCCTTCTCGGCGTCGCTCTTCTCATTGCCCTCCTGTACTTCCTCCTCCGCCGCGCATACGATCGCCGCCGCGCGCGCGAACACCAATTCCGCTATGACAAGCGCTCGCAGCGCATCATGGAGCAGTCGCGTGGCACCCCCGTCTCCCACTCCACCGGGGGCATGGCCACAGGCCCCACACGATCGGGCGGCAGCCGCAGCCCGCTCTCCGCGATGGCC